TTTTTTTTGTATATAATGGTTGTATATATTGTACTCTTGCTTATCGAAATAAACTCTTTCATTCAGTCATTCATTCATCCCCGACAAAAACAGTGCAACCTTACCTTTGCTAGTACGACTGTGTTTGCTGAGTTTTCTGGCTTGTGAATGAGTAAATCTTGCACCCATCCGCTGCAGAACTGCTCATGGGCTTCTAAAGATTTATAACTTTTAAATTCTTGTAAAGTATATGCACTCAGTCCAAAAACCAGATAGTTTACAATGTCGGGATACGTCAGTGGCGGGAGTACAGCGGGGTCTTGACTCCAGTCCTTGGCCGTTATATCGTAGGGATCGACATTGTTAAGCATTTGCAGCTTCTCTATGTACCTTTGCCTCGCATTTAATTTGAGTTTGTCGTGGTAGGGTCCTCTGTCATTTTCTTTGCCCTTCTTCATCTCCTTTGCTTCATGTTCGTATTCCCCTTCACTGCTTTGTTTACACCCGCGTTCCTCTAAAGATGGCGCTGACGCCCCACAATGCAATGCGCGTGACGTCACCTTCACATTCTCTAAACTAGGATCAAGTGCCTATTAAATAAAACAGACAACTGAAATAGACAATAACTTGTAATACAATTAAATACAACAAAAGAAAAAGGTTAACTTAATGGCTTGGGGTTTTCTTGTAATTTATATTCTTTAAATTAAAAAGTTTCACCGCATTTTTATTAGCTTGGTGCTTTTATTTTGACGGAAAGGCGCATCCATCGAATTCCGGATCCTGTCTCTTGCCCTGGTTCCGGTTGCTTACCAAAACGGCCACTAAACGGCCCCAGACTAGCACTGCTCAGCAGCAGCACAGAGGAGTATTCCAGAAAGCAGGTTTAGTGAAAACTCTGAGTATGTTAACCCTGAAATGAGGGAAAGTCTGGGTTTTCAGTTCCAGAAAGAGAGATAAATCAAACTATGAGTCGATCACCATGGCAACTGAGTCTGTGAACCTAACCTTCTCGCTGGCAGGTTTTCTTCAATAAACCCTGAGTTTTTCTCTGTCTCCTCCTTGTTACTCAGGACTGGCGCCGCCTACTCATGGTGCGTTTAAAGTCAGCTCGGAAAAACACGTTACCATATGTTAAAAACGAATTGAACGGTTGTAATGGCTGTAAAACAGTGCGGGGGAAGATACGGGAAGTGCGAGGGACATGTCCCACGTGTACCCCGCGTCCGCTACGCCCATGGGTGGTATCCACATGAATGCCAGAACCAAAGGTTTCCCAGCAGAACAAGGCATTGGAGCAAAATAATCAAAGTTATTCACTTTTAATGTTTTGGCTGATCTGTGTACATGTTGCTGCTGATTGGGTGCTCCTCTGATACACCCACCAAACAAGAGAAAATGTACCACACAGCTCACTGCACACTGTTTACAAGGAAACACGTCACCTAACCTGCAAACTGTTGCGAAACAATGCACACTGTTTTAAGATTGAATGTGCCCCATGTTAAGCAAGAGAGCAAACAACTCTCTCTGGTCCTTTTCTCATTATTCTTATTTTCCTGTTAAAAGAAAACTATCAGCCAAACTCTCAGTGACTCTCCGGCGGCGGACACACCCAGAGTTTATCACAAGTAGGCTATCAGAGTTGTTTCCACAAATATCGATCTGGTTTGATTAGAGGAAGCAGCGCAATTATTTTTGCAGGATGGACGACGCCCCGCTACTGTGAAGCAGCAGTGCTGTCAGGCAAACGTTAGGATGATCTCAACCGCCTCTCCCTCCAGCCTCCACCTTTTGGACACCCCCGTTCCTTTTCCGCAAGGAAGTCGGAATTTCTGACTCCAAATCGGACATTGCAACTCTGTTATGTTTGGCACATGGAGACTCCCTCATCCAATGCACAGCTCTGTACGACTCAGACAGCGGCTGTAATTAAACGACATCTCCCAACATTAATCTGCACTAATTATTAGGGTATATAATGTAACACATTAGCCTATATTTGATCATCTTTATTTTAAAGTGGAGCTCAGTGTTGCTGTTGATGTGCTGGCATCCACCCCACCACTGATAACTCTGGCAGTGTTTTGTTTCCAGACTCAACATGTGTACACAGCTGTATCCTTTCAAACAGAACATATCAGTAAGTCCTTCTTTTTCTCACCGTTTTCATCCGCTGACGTGAATTCGGACCGAGTCAGGGCACAGAGACACACAAGAGGAAGGAGCTTCATAGTTGCTGAAGTCAACGTGAACATATAGCCTATACAACTATCGTCAACTAACGTCACCCAAACGCATCATGCCCAGTCTTGCTGGGAAGGGCAAGTGCCCCACCTAACATTTAAGTGTTGGATTTAAAAAAAATATTTTTGTTGTAATTTATTGTTATGATCATGGGGTATTTTCAGTCAAACGTGACCTTCTAGTTATGTCATTAGACCCCATATTTCAAAAAGTCACACACACCCTTGCCCTAAGGGACTTTTATTTCACAGTCTTGCAGCTGGCTGGCTAATTCTTGTGCAGCTGTTTTGGTGTGAGACAACCACACCCCATTCAGCTCAATAAACAGAGCTGTAAAAGTAAATGTAGAGTCATGAAATGAAAATCCACTGAAATAAATATATTGCATTATCAAATAAAAGTCATCTGGAATAAATAAATGTGGCATTATGAAATAAAGTCCCCTGTAATAAACAAAAATAGTGCTTTTTAAAACATACTTTTTAAAATAAAAACCTATTTTTTTTTATTTATTTTTATTTATATCTATGTATATATTTATTGCCTCATTTATTTATTTCAGGATTTATTTCATGGGCTTATTTATTGATGGATTTATTTATTGTGGTAGAGGTGAGCTTGATTGCTTTTAGAAAGCACATGCCAGTAACTGAGTCATTTCTCCTCTGCTCCTGTGTGTTGAAGTATGCATAAATGTACCACTAGAGGACAATACTCAGCTATATCTGTGAACACTGGACTGACAGGCTGGGTACTACCATCATGTAAAAATCTTATTTGTACTAAATTTTGTGGTGGTAGCTGATGAGTCAGTGCACTACTAGATGAGTATGTTACTGAGGAGGAAGAGGGTATACCACATATTCCAGTGTTTCTTTGTTGTTGTTTTTTGGCTGATAGGTGGATATACTGTGAACAGTCAGAAACTGAGGTCGTTATACCTCGTATACCTGCATAGACCGTCCACTGTTTATATTCTATTATAATGACAGAAACTGCAACATAAGTTTAAGTAAAGAGTAACAGACCACAGAAATGTAATGCTCAAGTGAAATTTCCCTTCTAAATACAAGATATAGGCCTTTTATCACATATGCCACATAAAGATACAGATATACAGTACAGGCCAAAAGTTTGGACACACCTTCTCATTCAATGCGTTTTCTTTATTTTCATGACTATTTACATTGTAGATTCTCACTGAAGGCATCAAAACTATGAATGAACACATGTGGAGTTATGTACTTAACAAAAAAAGGTGAAATAACTGAAAACATGTTTTATATTCTAGTTTCTTCAAAATAGCCACCCTTTGCTCTGATTACTGCTTTGCACACTCTTGGCATTCTCTCCATGAGCTTCAAGAGGTAGTCACCTGAAATGGTTTTCCAACAGTCTTGAAGGAGTTCCCAGAGGTGTTTAGCACTTGTTGGCCCCTTTGCCTTCACTCTGCGGTCCAGCTCACCCCAAACCATCTCGATTGGGTTCAGGTCCGGTGACTGTGGAGGCCAGGTCATCTGCCGCAGCACTCCATCACTCTCCTTCTTGGTCAAATAGCCCTTACACAGCCTGGAGGTGTGTTTGGGGTCATTGTCCTGTTGAAAAATAAATGATCGTCCAACTAAAGGCAAACCGGATGGGATGGCATGTCGCTGTAGGATGCTGTGGTAGCCATGCTGGTTCAGTGTGCCTTCAATTTTGAATAAATCCCCAACAGTGTCACCAGCAAAACACCCCCACACCATCACACCTCCTCCTCCATGCTTCACAGTGGGAACCAGGCATGTGGAATCCATCCGTTCACCTTTTCTGCGTCTCACAAAGACACGGCGGTTGGAACCAAAGATCTCAAATTTGGACTCATCAGACCAAAGCACAGATTTCCACTGGTCTAATGTTCATTCCTTGTGTTTCTTGGCCCAAACAAATCTCTTCTGCTTGTTGCCTCTCCTTAGCAGTGGTTTCCTAGCAGCTATTTGACCATGAAGGCCTGATTGGCGCAGTCTCCTCTTAACAGTTGTTCTAGAGATGGGTCTGCTGCTAGAACTCTGTGTGGCATTCATCTGGTCTCTGATCTGAGCTGCTGTTAACTTGCCATTTCTGAGGCTGGTGACTCGGATGAACTTATCCTCAGAAGCAGAGGTGACTCTTGGTCTTCCTTTCCTGGGTCGGTCCTCATGTGTGCCAGTTTCGTTGTAGCGCTTGATGGTTTTTGCGACTCCACTTGGGGACACATTTAAAGTTTTTGCAATTTTCCGGACTGACTGACCTTCATTTCTTAAAGTAATGATGGCCACTGGTTTTTCTTTAGTTAGCTGATTGGTTCTTGCCATTATATGAATTTTAACAGTTGTCCAATAGGGCTGTCAGCTGTGTATTAACCTGACTTCTGCACAACACAACTGATGGTCCCAACCCCATTGATAAAGCAAGAAATTCCACTAATTAACCCTGATAAGGCACACCTGTGAAGTGGAAACCATTTCAGGTGACTACCTCTTGAAGCTCATGGAGAGAATGCCAAGAGTGTGCAAAGTAGTAATCAGAGCAAAGGGTGGCTATTTTGAAGAAACTAGAATATAAAACATGTTTTCAGTTATTTCACCTTTTTTTGTTAAGTACATAACTCCACATGTGTTCATTCATAGTTTTGATGCCTTCAGTGAGAATCTACAATGTAAATAGTCATGAAAATAAAGAAAACGCATTGAATGAGAAGGTGTGTCCAAACTTTTGGCCTGTACTGTAAATATACAGATGAAGATGGGTATAAGATCAGGAATGGTATGTTTGGTAACAGTCACAAAAAACACATATAAGACGTACAACAAATGTGAAAACAGAAATTCTGATTTCATCTTAAGTGTTGATTCCTCCTTCCTTCCTTCCTCCCTTCCTTCCTTCATCATTTTCTAATTTAGAGCAAGAAAAAGTACAGCAAAAGATATTTATTTTTAAGTTTCAAAGCAAGAAAAAAAACCACCCCACAGCCCTTTTTCCTTTTTTATTTTATTTGTTAAAGCAACAGCAGAAAAGTAATAAACAGACTTAAACACAGTGGTCACATATGTAGATGAAGACTACAAGTTTATCTGATAATAGCATCAAGAAAATGTTGATCTTTAGAGTCAAAAACAGTCACATTAAGCTGGCAAATTAAAGAAACAATATTCTGTGTTGGACACAAAATGCACATCTAATCACACCTCTAGCAGGATATCCCCAACAATTATCTCCAAGACTACAGTATTTTTATATTCTTATCATCTCACCACACATCAATTTAGCACAGACAAATAATAGAGCAGTCTATTACAGTGTTTGTTAGGAACCAAAGAGGGTTAAAGACCCCATGCTGCTAAGTACAACTAAAGTCTGAGATACAATTGACCCAACTGACTACAGTTAACACGTTAAAATCTTTATATAGTTTAAATTATATTAGAAACAACAATTTCCCGTGCTTACTTTTCCATATTTAGATGTATAGATGATTTTATTTTTCCTTTTTTTCTACAGTAAGTAAAAGTTAGTAACTAACCTGCACCCTTACACATTTAGAAACATGTTACAAAATTACAATGAAACTGTAGATGTGTGTTTGTGAAGCATCCACATGGTTATTGTGGGTGTACGAGTGTGTATAGTGATACATGCATGCAGTGTTGGAGGAAGTGCTCAGATCTTCACGTAAAAGTACTGATACCACAATACACATAAAAGTCCTGCATTGAAATGTTACTCAGGCAAAAATATGTAAGTATAATCGGGTAAATGTAAGTAATAACAGGAGAAAAATAAACTATTCTATATATTATCATTATATTATTATGACTCGTGCATTCAAAGCAAGATTTTACTGTTGAAGTTGGTTGAGGTGGAGCTCATTTTGAACTGTTAACTAATGATTATTTTTATTATGAATTAATCTGCTGATTATTTTCTCCACTCATTGATTGATTGTTTGGTTTGTAAAAATTCTGAAAATAATAAGAAATACTGTCACGATTACCCACAATGCTTGTTTTGTCCAACCAACAGTCCAGTTCTCCATATTATTACTAACACACAACAATTAATAATGTTATTAAAAGAAAAAGCAGCAAAATCTGCACATTTGTAAAGCTAATACCATGAAATGTTTTCACAAGATTAATGTATATCAAACTTATTAACTTCAACCATCAAAATAGTTCATTTTTTTGTACCTCAACTATTTGATTAGTGGACAAATATATGTGTCATATTTTATAAACTCGTGATAATGTGTGCAAAAATCTTAATCTGTTAGTAACTAAAGCTGCAGTGGTGCAGTAAAAAGTAAAAATGGAATGGAGTAGAAGTATAATGTGGCATGAAAAGAAAAGTACAAGTACCTTAAATTTCTTCTTAAAGGGGAACTGCGTCTATTTAAAAATGTATACATGTTATTCCTATGGTCTAAGACTGTCCAAAAATATTTGTAAATTAAAAAGAGCTCTCTCCCAAATCCAAAAAACTAGAGTGCTAAAACTCAAATTTGTGATGTCATCAGGTGTAAAGTCAGTTTTTGATGGAAGATTGCTCGACAGTTGTGTGTTCAGTTTTTGATGAAAATAAAGAAATTGCCTGCTTTGATACCATGCCTCAAATTGCATGCTGGTATGAATAAATAGGATGATTTTTCTGCAACTGGAGCCTGCAGGTCAGGAAACAGAGGCATCAACTGAAGCAAGCGTGTCAGCCAGGTCAGGTTAAATATCTCAGTAGCAGCAAGTAGTAGACTTAGCTCCTACAACTACATTAGAATAAAGCTCATTTGAGTATAAAAACAAAACAAAAAAACATTTTGGGGGTTCTTAAAATCAGGCTGCCATGCATTGTCTTTGGAGCAGCTCAAGACTTTATCCATTATGACATCGCAAGTTTGAGACTTCCTTCTCTGGTTTACTTTAACATATTTAAATTCAAATTTTAACATATTTGAATTATTCATTTAGGTGATGTTCCCTTTTAAGTCCATTAATCGAGTAAATATACTTAGTTCAGTTCCACCACTGCATGCATGTCTTGTGTGTCGTCTCAGTGAGTACTGTATCGGCTGCTGTCTCTGGTCTCGGTTGTCTTTATCAGAAGTTTTGGAGCAGGAGAGCAGCTGTTACTGTGGTAGCCATTAGTACTTTTAGTACCTGGAGAGAGAAAGACAGAGAGAGAAAGAAAGAAAGGCAGGGCAGTGAACAAGAAAGAAAAGTCAAACAGGTAGGTGGAGACAGAGAGAAAGAAAGATATAAAGAAAAAGATAAAGTCAGACAAAGATACAGAGTAGTGTGTCAGTAAATTATAAGTGGCTAAAGTAACAAAAGTCCCCAGCCAGATATGAAGCACAGACACTGCAGTTATATTGAATCCATCTTACATGAGTGGATCACAGTGACACCCCAAAATTTTCATAGAAACAAAAAGTTAAATCTAATTATAAGTTGTCAAGCAATATCAAAAATTGGACTAAAAAGATGACCATCCTGCATATCACTGCAGCGAGAGTGTGGAGGTCTTTAAAAGCCCCGTTTCCACCACAGGAACTTAGGGGTAATTTTACGGGGCCGGGGCTGCTGGTGCGTGTCTCCACCGCAGGAACCACCCCCGAAGGACAGAGTTCCGGAACTTTTACAGGGGCTAAACAAGTCCCTGCCTCAGAGTAGGTACTCAGAACGGCCCCAAAAAACTCCTGGGTGGGGCTTGGGGATTACTTGGTGCTGACTGGATATACTCAAGGTGGGATGTGACGTCAACAGAAAGCGACAAAATAGCCGGCATTTTTAAAACTCAGCCTCGTCGCCCCGGTCAAAATGGTTGCGCAACAATTACGTCACATTCAGAGCCCAGTAACTTTACAGGAACCGTCCTCGTACTCCGCTCTCTCAGTGGAGACACGGCGGTTGAGAGGGCCGAGCGAGAGGACGTTCCTGTAAAGTTCCTGTCCCCCAAATAGTACCAGGAACTTCTTCAGTGGAAACGGGCCTTTTGTCATGGACAGGCGTTTAAAGGTCCAGTGTATAAAATTTAGGGGGATGTATTGGCAGACATGGAATAGAATATATTAATTATGTTTTCTTTGTGTGTGTATTTATTCTTCATTCATTTGTTTTTAGTGACCGCTTATGCTGTTAGAGGTCACGGGTGTGCTGGAGCTTATCCCAGCTGACACTGGGCAAGAGGCAGTGTACACACTGGACAGGCCACCAGACTATCACAGGGCTAATCACCTGAAAATAAGTGTTTTTGTTGCCTTAGATTGAGCCGTTTATATAAATATAGGGAGTGGGTCTGTGGAGATTGCCACGTTGCGCCATTATGTTTCTACAGTAGCCCAGAGAGGACAAACCACACCAGTGATCATACTTAGCAGCCCTTCCGCGATGGGAGCACTGGAAAAACACTGATTTATTACATAAAACTGCTTTATTTAGTGTTTTTAGCCTTTAAATCATCAGGTCTATTTGTTTTGGAAAGGAGGAGACCTCTACGAATAATTCAGCCCCCCCGAAAAAACTTCCTGAATGTCCGGATCAGAGATAAGTTAAGCACACATTAGCAGGTGGTGAGCTAGCAGCCCATCTGCAACATGCCCAACAGCATTGGAGAAATATTGATTTGTAACCTGAAACTCATTTATTCAGTGTTTTAATCACCTGGTCTGTTTGTTTTGGAGAGGAAGAGACCTCTGCGGATAATTCGGCTCCTGGTAAAAACCTCCTGAACAATGAAAACTGAAGGAATTCTAACCTGGACAAGTTTCAGCTCAAGATGCTAAAATCTTCTTAAATCATACACTCTGTTCCTTTAAATCTAATTTTAAGTTTTCAAAAAATGTCAGTCATTGGGATGAGTAGGAGATTGTCCTGCATATCACTGCAGTGAGAGTGTGGAGGTCTTGTTCATGGACAGGCATTTAAATGTCTACACCCTTCTTATTGATGGTGGAGGTTTTGGTTACTCACTGTAGCTGGAGACGGACTGGATGTTGAGGACGGTCTGTTGTCCAAGTCTGCAGAAGAAAAAGAGACAGAGTGCGTGTGTTGGTGTGTTATATTAAAGGAGACACACAGACACAATTCTTCTTCTCCTCTTCTCACCTGTCCTCCTCTCCCTCCAGCAGCTTCCTGTAGGTGGCAATCTCAATGTCCAGAGCCAGTTTCAGGTTCATCAGGTCCTGCAGGTGAAGAATAAAATATCATATAGGGGGAAGTGACTAAAATGCAAGGACAGACGGCAAGGAAAGGACTCAAGGATGTGCAAAGTGTGAAACAAGAACAGACTCAGATCAATATAACTTTTGTGTATGTTGTTGCGTCTCAAAGTCAAGGAAGGATCCTTAAACGGCTGAATTTCACATCATCGAATCCCACTGAAGGACTGCTCCAATGTCAAGGATCCTTCAAAGTTCATCAAGGACCAAATCCTTACTTCCGAGACTTTTCAAGGACGCATGCTTGTATCCTCAGTGGGCATTAAGTACTCACAACTCTTTGAGCACGATTTGCCGGAAGTAAAGGCAAGGCCTCTTCAGTGACACACACCTGGGTGCTCTCTCGCCTGTTCCAATGTGTGTTCACCGGGTGCTAGGAAGGAGTCGTGCCTAGCCTCTGTAGGACCAGACTTGGAAGGACCCGTCCCCCTTGACTTTGAGAAGCAGTGAATGTCTCTCACTCACCTGATACTCTCTGAGCTGTCTGGCCATGTCTTGTTTGGCCCTCTGCAGAGCGTCCTCCAGGTCTCTGGTCCGGGCTTTGGCTTCTTTCACAGCCAGTTCTCCACGCTCCTCGGCCTCAGCCAGCTGGTTCTCCAGGCTGCCACGCTGAGTGAGGAGACAGGGGCAACAAATCATCCATGCTATACTTAGAATCATCTAAAAAATGACATTCTACAAGGGCTGCATCTTTCCTGTAGGTGTACCTGAGCTTTGACAGCCTCGATCTCACTCTGCAGCCGGCTGATCAGTCGGTTGACCTCAGCCACCTCTCCCTTCACGATGCGGAGCTCGTCTCCATACTGACTCGCCTGCACTGACATCTGGTCAAACTACAGACAGAGGGAGGTTCACATTAGCTGCATCACTGCCTTGTCTCTTTGAACAGAGAGCTTAGACCGATCTTCACACATTTATAGTTATGATATACCATCTGAATGGTAGACAACCAATCTACCTCCTGAGCCACCAATACACTGATACATTTAGTACTGCTTATTCATCACAAATAAAATAATATCAAACTGGCAGTTCTGGATAATGACTACTTTTACTTTTGATACTTGCAGTACATATAGTTAGTAATACTCCTATTCTACTACCACACCTAAGTAAAATGTTGAACTCGTAATCTGAATATCTGACCTGAATCTGATCTGAATACTTCCTCTACTACTGACACTCTCAAATGTCTTCTTAGTTCAGCTTGTGTGTCTGTATAGGACAGTTTGGATTTCACTCTCAAGTCACAATTTAACACTTCTTTTGTTAAGAGATGTGAATTCAGTGGGTTGAATGTGTAATGTCTCTGTTACAGATCACACTGAAGGCTAATATAACAGATTACAATGGATGCTGGATATCTTATCTTGGGCTTTCTGCACACTTCTTTTCTTACTTTGCTCTTGTACCAATCCTCGGCCTCCTCTCTGCTGCGGGCTGCGATCTCCTCGTACTGAGCTTTGACCTCAGCTACAATCTGCTCCATGTTCAGGCTGCGACTGTTGTCCATCTGCACCACCACCGAGGTGTCTTTGATGCTCGCCTGCAGCTCACGCAGCTCCTGGTGCAGGAAACAAAACAGAAGTGAGACACAAATAACATAGGTCCACATGCAATGAGCCAAATATAAATTACATTTTCGATGAACAGGATCAGAGCTGTTCAAATGTAAGTTTGATTTTTATTGGAAATTGTTGTGTGGGTCTTTCATATGTTGATTATAATGTAACTGTTTCAGTTCAATTGTAGTTGTCTGACTTTTCAGACACATGTTAGAAGTTACTGCATCATAACAACGAGAAAAAAGGGGAAAAAAGACTACTAAATGACTTTTGTCCTGATAGATTCATCTGAAACTCAGTCAACAATAATCTTGACATTACACAGTCAAGCATTGTTTTCATTATAATTTGCCAGTAATTTTTTATTCGTCGTACTTCAAAGTGCCATCCTCAGACTCTTCTTTTTTTTTTTTGTACAGTCAACAGTGCAAAACCCAAAGATAATCTGTTTGCTTCAAACTAAAATATGGCAAGGCACCAAATTCGATTCCAGTCAGCAGAAGAAAATGTTGGAATTGTGCTTTTCTGCAGACTACAGATAGGTTACATATGTACGTGTCATCAACATTGCTAAAGTAGCTTAGTGTATTAGCTGACTTTGTCCTCTGAAGTTGAAGTGGATAGTAGATGGCGTTACACCTAGGCGAGACACCTGCCAGGCTGCAGATCTCTATTTGAGACCAACAGCCAACAAAATCAGTTGTGATTTAGATTTAGAGGTTTAGACCAGGTATTTAAGTCAAAAAATTATCTTTTCCTAACCGTTATCAAGTACACACATTAATCACAGCTTTGTTGAATTTAGGTAAACACATGAAAATACAACAAACACATGCTTTTCTACTCATTACATATTTTTAGCTCATCACCAGGTTACATATCATGTTTCTCTGGAGCTGCAGAGCATTAAGCTCTCTTGGGGATAATACGAATCATTTTTCCTTTGTTAAAGTGTTTTTGGTCGGCTCCGAAAACTCTGACAATAAGTAACAACAACAAAAACAAAAGAAAAAATATTTCCTTTAGCTGATATAAAAAAAACAACCTCCAGAGGCAGTTAATGTTTGGTGTTAAGTCCCCAGTGAGTCATGAGATGGAAGCAGAACGATGGAAAGGAAAGTGTGACAGTTGGAGGGAAATAACTGGAGAGAAATACAGGAAGACGACAAATACGTTTGATAAATCTGAACCTTTTTCACATTCTAACTGTTTTAAAGCCTTAAAAATTTTCAATACCTCCTCATAGACATTGCGGAGGAAGTTGATTTCATCAGTCAGAGCTCCCACTTTATCCTCCAGGTCAGCCTTTACCAGGTAGGCTGAGTCTACATCCTGAACACAGAAACAAAAACCACACAGAGATTAATGACGAAGTCAGAGGATGCCCAACGTTATTACAGCTCATCCTGAGAGGAACATGAATGTCTAAACCAAATTTAATAGAAATCCATCCAATAGTTGGTTTATAGTTTCGTTCACTCAAAACCGCAAAAATGTGAACCTCATGGCGATGCTTAAGGAAAAGTGAAGAGATATACAAGGTCAGTAGGAGTCATCCTCTGAGAACCATGAAGAAGAAGATATACTTTATTAATCACTGAGGGTAAACTCAATATTTTTTCACTCTGTTGTCATTTACAAAGTGTCCCGAAATACACACACATGCATAAACAATAAATGGAGAGATGTCAGAATGAGGGGGCTGCCTTGGACAGGCATCTTGCAGTTGGGGATTCAGTCCAGTCCACGCTCCATGCTTGGTCTGTACGGGGATTTGAACCGATAACCCTCCAGACCCCAAGTTCCTATGGACTGAGCTACTACTGCCCCCTGTCTGTACAAAATTTCAAACAATCCAACCAATAATTATTGAGATATTTTAATCTGGACTAAGGTGGTGGGCCAACTTCTCCATCCCCAGAGTCATGCATTTTGCCAGGCTAAAACCACTGTTAAAGAAAACCGGTGTAACGATTGCATGTGCTCACAGACATCTTTAATCTCACGGTTGCAGCAGTAAAGTCCTGTTAATCTTTTTCCTCCACAGACAACAACCCTGTCACATTACAGTTGTATGTTACTTGACTGCTTGGTTATTGATGTTGCTGTGGTAATGTATTTGCTACCTGGATTGATGTTCAGAGACAACGTGTCTGTCAAGTCAAGGAACACTACATTCATATATTATGTAGGCTATGCAAGGAGGTTGTTGGATGTACAAAGTGCAGGACTTTGACACTGGAACCCTGCGTCCATGCATAGCCTCCTGTCCAAGGTTTAGGTTTCAAGGGCACCCTGTTAAAGTTTAGGGAAAGATCATGATTTCAGTTAAATGAAATAATGTCTTCAAATGTGTCTGAAGGTAATTTTTACTTTCAATAAGGAAAACATAAAAATAAGTTTAAAACTGGACGACTGCAAACAGTCATAAGCTGTCATTCAGCGCGGCTTTTTGCACAGCCAGAGAAGCAAATCTACCTGTGATTCAAGCTATTTAATAAAAACTTTGACCGGGTGATTCATCCATTCATCTTGAATCGCTCTGGATCTGCCAACCAGAGCCACTGCACAGCAAATTAAGCTGTCATGCAATCAAATCGTGAAAGCAACTTTGGTTTGCAGTAAGAAAAAAATAACCCAAAGGCCACTCTGCAAACGTATGGTTTCCCTCTGCAGTATTGTGAAGCTGGTCTCGCAAATGTTTGAGTAGAAGAGTAAATAATTAAGTCCTGTAGGGAACTCAAATGTCTAAACCGAATTTCGTGGCAATCCATCCAATAGTTAGAAAGTCGGGGGATAAGCTAGCATGATTAAAAAACAAACTCAAATAGTGAATAAAGTTTGGGGTTTTTTTTTTTTTTTTTTATAAAACTCCAGTCATGATCATTTTCTGACCTTTAAGTCCTGGGTTGGCAAATTTCCAGACTGTCTTACATGGACTCCGACTGCTGTTTTCATGTGACGCTGACGATAAAGTTCCCAAAGCATTTATGGGTTTTGATGCATGTGGGAATGTAGAGATGAGAGCAAAGGAGGACAATAGAGTGGTTCACCTTACCACCACACCTGTGATGTATGAATGAATGTGTGTGCGCCCTGACCTTCTTCAGGATAACAAAGTCGTTCTCCAGGTTGTTTCTCTTGTTAATCTCTTCCTCGTATCTGTAACAGAGGCGAGACAAAAATGAAATAACATATACTGAGATATTACAGAACTCACAGTGACTTGACTTACTTGTGTTTGTAGTCCTCCACCAAGCCCTGCATGTTCCTCAGCTCCCCGTCCAGTTTGGTCTTGTCATTGTTGACCAGGTCCATCTGGCGCCTCAGACCCGCCATGTAGGCCTCGAACAGGGGCTCCACGTTGGACCGGCTCACCACCTGGCCCTGCATCAGATCCATTTTGGTCTGAAGCATCTTGTTCTGCTGCTCCAGGTAACGTACCTGAATGATGGAGGTGATGCCATAAATATCTTCTGACAGCCATTTTGGAGGTTATTGTGTTTGTTAGCCAGCTCTCCATCCTAATTAAATGACCGTATTTTACTTTTACTTAAATAAAATTACCAAAATTTGTCCACTTGGCCATAATGGCTGTTTCGCTTCGAGCTATTTTCCCTAATTTGTTAGCAAACAGTTTCTCTGTTTGTTTCTGAAAGTTAGTTTAGTTTGCTTCTCTTTAGCTGGTTAAGTCCACCATGTTAACATGTAGCAACAACAGTGGCTAGTTTTTTTTTTTTTGTCAATTGTGTGTGAAGGAATTGTGGCATCCAGCAGTTACAGTTGCAAGCTGCAACCAACTAAAACTTCTTCTGTGTGCCAGGTGTGTAGGAGAACTTCCGTGGCTGACACGAAAATGCAAAACTTGAGTATTTTGCTTGTCTGTTCTGGGCTATTGTAGCAATAACATGGCTAACTCATGATGTCAAACATTGGCGTGTGGACTCATGTTTTGAAGCATGAGTTCTGCATTTCGGTTGTCGCCATCTTGATTTTTTTTGGAGCCTGAAGTGAACATATTTGGGTGACAGGCTGACGCTGTGGAGGAGCAAGGGGAGTACACTATGAGTAGTAGACAGCCTGTCACTCAAAGTGGCCCGCCTTAATCATGCGTAACGTTAAGCCTGCTAAAATGTAAACAGGTGAATTATATAAAAATTCACCCCAATTGTCATGAACGGGGAAATTAGCTATAGAGACCAAAACTGTTTTTGTAACAGGCTGTAAACATGTTTATTTCTGCTGTAAAGTTGGGCGATTTAACATGGGTGTCTATGGGGACTGATGGGGATTGACTTGCTTCTGGAGTCAGCCTCAAGTGGCCATTAGAGGAGCTAGAGAAAATATACTTACTATATTATATTCCATTTCTGTCATTAGATACCACCAACTCCTACACACTGGACATTTAAATGCAAAAATCCCAGTCTGTTAAAGGTGAATATTTACAGGTTTTTTTGTGTTTGTTTTCTGCTAGTAGACTGACTGTTTTGGGGGTTTGATAGTTGGTTGGACAAAACAAGCAATTCAAAGATGTTATCTTTAGTTCTGTGTATTTGTGATGGACATGTTTCACTATTTTCTGGCATTTTATGGACCAATTAAATTAGATGTCGATGTGGAAAACTTTTGGTCAGTCTTCACTTTGATGAATAATGGAACAAAATCGCTGAGCCTAAGCTGTCCTTACTCGAATATATTGGTTTATCACAACACAAATCTGACAGTAGAGAAGACCTTTGGACACCGTAATACCAAAAACTTTAAGTAACATTGTATTTGCTCTGCTTTTGCTTTCAGTGTGATTCACATCAGAATCATGTATAATCATGCCACCAGGGAGGAGGCATGATGTGTGTTACCATTGGTCTTACTATTTATCATGGGAGACAGAAACTTCATCATTGTCCTTTACCTCCAATAAGTATGAAGGATTCTAAGGTCTCTCAAAATACCAAACTATGACAATACATTCCACCATGTCTAACAATATTCTACCACTCTTAGTTAGCTGCTAACCAAATCGCTAGAAAAATTTTGGCATTGTATGTTTCTGCGAACCATAGATATGTTACATTTATATGTTATGTTATGTAGAAGATATGTTGAAACTTTACATTTCTGCTATGTTGTGGTTATGTTTAGGCACAAAAACTACTTGGTTATGGTTCGGAAAAGATCATCTTTTGGCTTAAAATACCGGTTTTGGGGGCTCAATCCCCGCTGGAAGAGCAGAGATGTCTTGGTAAACAGACACCGGGCGCTATCCTGGCTGGAAAAACAGTAGCAGATCGCTACGAAACACCCACATTCAGTGCCCTAAAAGCTGCTGGAAACACAGTGATGAGTCATTACAGCACAACCGGTTTTGTCGTTTGTTGGTCTCGCACAGTGGTCTGCAGCTTGGCAGACATCCCGCCTAGGTGTAATACCATCCACCATACCCTCCACCACCTGATGACAAAGTCAGCTTGTATACTACGTCACTTTAGAAACACTGATATGATATAAAACGTGCAAATGTAACGTATATGTGGCTTGCAGAAACATGCAATGCCAAAGTTTTCTTCTGGTCACTGGGATGCATAGTTGCATTCACTGAATACCGTCCTTCCTCGGGTAAACAGAGGTTAAAGAAACTGCATCATTCCAGCAGATAAGCAGCTCAATCTCAACATCAACACCTGACTGTACCTGCATGGCTCGTGTTTCCTGCCTGCGGCCGGGTATATCCACCACCCATTATACCTCCTCCCTCCAAGACAAAGGCAGTGTTCTGTACAGAGCAGAATAATCTCCCTCTGAGACACAACCCCACCGTGTCTGACCCGATTCATCAGGTTACAACTCAATAACTCAATGGGACGGAAATGGGACGGATAGCTTAAATATCCAGTGTGGCCTATTACCACTGATTCAGGTTTTAAAAGGCTGTTTAAATCCCAGATGCATTCACTGAATCTTTGGCTCTTTTTAAGGCTTTTTGTCTTTGTCTTTTAATCCACTGTTCAGGTTAATTTTTGCAACAACCAGCGTCAATAAATATAATATTTCCCAGTGGGTCATTGATCCTCATTCAGATTTAAACTGGGTCATCATGCTGCAACATATAAAACTTTGTCTACCTGTTGCATCAGGCTGATTACTTCTCTGCATGAGGGGAAGCAGCTCTTTAATGTTTCAGTGCTGTTGGGATCAGTCGGGTTGGATTACACCAGTAAATGCAGGGTTGGTTTATCAGTCAGTTGACTGGACTTTGCCCTTTAGCTGTTCTGATGAGCAGAAGAAGAGGTCTTCCTGCCTCAATGTCCAAAATTTAATAAATTATTGTCCCAATGTAGCTGCAATGATCACATTCCAAGTTTGAATGTGTATTAATAAATCAGCCCAGAGGAGTCCAGACTGAAGTCACCTCACCTCTCCTGCAGCTCAGAGCTCCTACGACCACGATAAGAGCAAACAAGGACCCTTTTGTGAGTCCCCTGTTAGCCGGACAGTCACAACAACCGTCTCACTTACAGAGAAGGATGGAGACAAGCTTTCAAGTGCTTCCTGGGAAATTTCACAATATTTTGTCTTGGAACACTGAAACTGTTTTGCTTACTACACAATCTTACTCACTTACTGAACTTTTGCATTCTGACTTAAACGATAACATCCTTGAGAGCATTTTACACTAAAATTTCCAAATTAAGTTTAATCATTTTGGGTGTAAACTCAGAGATTAACACAAATCTAAGACCTTGACTGTTATTTTGGGATCTCTAGCTGCTCCAAAACAAAACAACAACAACAACAACAACAATAATAACAAAGAACAAAAAAAGAATTTCCTTCAGGAAATTTAGATGGAGGGCAGTAAAATGAAATAAACAAAAATATATATTTTCAAAGAATATATTGCCAGGTGATTTTATATCATTTATGCTAACACAAATTTACTATATATTGTTTTGTTTGGTTTTTTTACTAATATTATCATGTAATCTTTTTTTTCTCTGTACACTAAAATTCATTTAAATTCTGCGCGTTCTGCTTTAAACAACTAACATTGTGGGAGTTTCACAATCAAAAGGATTTTTTTTATCCTAATAGGTCAATACTATATCAAGTGTTTTAGTTCTCTGTGGTACAATGAAAAAAAAATCTGCTCTCAAAAAGATAAAAAGTAGATAATAGTTTTGTACATTTGTATATTTGGACCTTCGTCCAGCACTCTGTCTCAATCCGCCCGAAGTGTATCTCTGCTGATGTGAGATGTCAACAATGCCTCCATTGTGAAAGTGTGTTACCGACTCCGTGAGAAAGCGGAGATGTTCCCTAAGTACGGTATCGATGTCCGACTTTATCACAGGGCTGGTCACTCCTTCTGTGGGAAATGTGTGTTCTTCAGGAACCTCAACAACACCACTACAGATTCACTTCCCCATTTAACACCCAGTGTTTTACCCTTATACTACAGGCCTGATGTCTGCAGTTACTCAACCATTCAGGCTCTTAAATACGAGTTTGGCTTGTGTTGGCATTGTGACCTTGAGGCCTTTATTAAGGTCAGCTTGAGCCATTAAAGTGGCTAAAATCAATCTCTCTATATTTTTTTATCATTAAAATATATTAAATATGTATATAAAGTTTTTGAACATTAGCCACCATAAGGTCATACACCAGACCAAAAGAGGCTGTAGCAGCAAAACCACCTGGCTGTATGAGATTAAATGAGGATGCATTTTGTTGCTCGTGAGTTCAAGTTTTTATTTGTGAGAGGAAGAGTCTGTTTTTTTCTTCTTTTGAGAGCTTAAAGCCTAGAGCAAGTCCAGTGTATTCAATTTTCAAATCGAAGCAAACAACGAGATCAAATAATTAATTATATGGTTTATAAAATGTACAAAAATAAAGGAAACAAATTAACAACCACAAAGTGTTTAAAATCACTTATTTGGTCCAACCAACAATCTAACATCCTGATGCATTTAATTTACGATGACACATCAGGGAAAAGCAGCATATCCTCACATTTTAGATGCCGATAACAGTGAATGTTGAGCTTTTTTGGCTTGAAAAAAAAAAAAGACATCAATTAGTCAAGATGTTTTTCTTATCTGACAATAGTAGTATTACAGTGCAGAAATGCTCTGTTGCAAGTACAAGTCCTCCCTTCATTTTTGTTGAGTCATAATTTGTGACGAATGAGTACTTTTATGCAGAATGGCCAATTTCAGAATATTATGTATGATATTATTGGATTATAATTATGGATGCATTCATAACTTAAATGTTGCAGCTGGTAAAGGTGGAGCTCATTTTAATTACTTCATACTGCTGGGTGGTTGATAAATTTCCCCTGGAGCTCAATCAAATTTGATTGTAATCTATAGTAATTCAACATAATTTATTTGCTGATTGTAGTTTGTGTAATTAACAAATACATTTTATACTTGAAGCAGAAAATGGAGATACTCAAATCAGGTAATGTTACTTTCCACCAGTGATGAATTGACCTGCTGTTTAAGCTCTCGTCTTTTTACCTTATCAATGAAGCTTGCAAAGCGGTTGTTGAGGCTCTTGATCTGCTCCTTTTCGTGGGCTCGGCACATGGACAGGCTCGGGTCGATCTCCAGATTGAGGGGGGCCAGCAGGCTCTTGTTGACCGACAGGGAGGCCAGCGGGGCACCGAGGCCGTGGTGGTGCCCATTGGCACTCGTGTAGAGAGAGCTGCTGCTCAGGGAGATGCCGCTGAAACCCCCCTGACCAGGACCGAAACCACTCAGCCTCCTTGACCCACTGCTGGTCCGGACGGAGCTACTGGAGCTGATTCGCTTGGTACGACTCAGACTCATGGTGGAGACAGAGGAGTGGTGGGATGCAGAGAAGTTGGTAGAGAGAGACAAAAAGATGGAGAATGGTTGAAGGAAGCAGAGGAGCAGGTGGTGGAAGGACTGAGATAGATGAAATGGAAAACAGGCAGCAAGGAGAAGAAGAGACTTGGAAGTGATTAGTAAAACAAGAGCAGAAGAAGAAATTGTTTACAGTGAAATGCAGGTTAATGAGAGGATGCAAGACGTGCAGAGAACAGGCTGAGCAGAGAACTACTGAGCGACTGCAAAGAGAGGTGAACCAGGTGAGTATAAGATGTCAGACCACAGCGAGGTGTCTCAGGTGTCTCATGGCATTTTAAACCTCCCCAGGGTGGAGGCGGAGGAGGAGAAACTGGAGCACCAGAGAGATGTGGTGTCAGATATCCAGTGTTTCTGACTTTTAGGGAAAATGTAAATAAGTTTGCATTCTTTTTTTTTTTTCTTTCTTCAAATAGGTGCCAGAGGGTGTGTTTATGCTACAAAGCCAGAAAAGGGTCCCTATTTACCCTCAAATATAAAGGAACAACCTAATTTGGAAAATAACCATCAAAATAACTTCATCTGAGTCCTTTTTGGAGACAAGAAGTCTGATCTACCTGTGCTGGTTTTTCTACTTATTTTTACTGTGCTGCCTCAGGCTGGTTAACCATGTGAACTCATCTGTTTGTGTGGTTTTAGTTCACCCTGCTTTGGATATTAAAACCATCCTCATTACATCATAGTTTGGCGCACCACATGATTTAATGTTATCACCCAATTGAAAGGGCATATGGGTTAGAAGGGGTCTGCTCCACCTACTAGTAGGTTAAGGCCATAATCAGTACATTAAAGGTTTATTAGGCTCTTGCACACCTTCAATAACTTGTAGACAGGTGCAGAGGAAACGGTCCATAGGTAAAGAGAAGAGAATTTCCACACACTGTCCTATTACTTGCAATAAACTTTATTTAAATACACAACGTCTCGGTCCTTAGATCTCGAAGGTTGTAGGATAAAACTTTATTTAACCTGAGGTTAACTGTCGTGCAGTGGTTGCAACTGAGTAAAACTTGAACATTCTCTAAAATTATTTCACATTAACATTCAGTTGTCATATATAAGGCAGTTTTTTGCTGTTTTTGTAACATTATGCACACAAAGAAATCCAAGAATGTCAATTATCAGTTAAAAGCTGGTGATGTGTACAAATCCTGATCAGTCGGAGTGAGTGACAGATAAAAATCACTTCAAAATTATTGAGTGATGCAAGATGTTGAGAGTCCGTTTGTCTGACATTTTTCCAAACGTCTTCTTTTGGCTGGTGTGTCTGATGACGGTCCTCTCTTCCTTTTTCCTCTCGTATTCTTTGTTTTTTGTAATGCTGCCACCTCAGTCTTCTTCTTCTTCTGTGCTCCTGCTGGCTCTGCCTTCTTTTTCTTCTTCTTCTTCTCTGCTCCTGCCAGCTTGGTCTTCATCTTCTTCTGTGCTCCTGCTGAATCAGCTTTCTTATTCTTCTGTAATACTACTTGTTCAGCCTTCATCTTTTTCTTCGCTCCTGCCGGCTCAGCCATCTTCTTATGTGCTTCAGCCAGCTCGGCCTTCTTCTTCTTCTTCTGTGCTCCTGTTTGTGTTAAATTTTAATCAACAGGGAGGACTGTTTTTAAGATATACTAATTATAATTTATAAACCTAAATATATGTACAGTATGTTTCCTTGCTCTCATCCTGGTGACTGTTGTTGTTGCTTTGGAAAAGCAAAATTACTGCTGTAAACCACCATTGAAAATCATTAAAAATTAATAATCGAAGATGGGAATATGATTGAATTGTGGTCAGAATGTGAGATTTATGATGCATTAAAACTTTATGATTTAATAATACTGAAAGCAAAACATAAATGCAGTAAGTACAAAATGTGTCTCTGATCTCAGTAAACAACAGATACCTTTCTTCTGAATTTGTCTTTTGATGGATGTTGTCTTTGTTGTCCGTGGCAGAGCCATTGTCCTTTCTGCTGGTGCTTTCTGATTGGTCTTCAGCTCCACCTCCACAGGGTAGTGGTCACTGATACTCAAAGTCTGGGAAACCAAATAAAGTTTGAATAATGACACATCCCCTTTAAGACAGAGTAAAGCTATCAGTGATGAAGAGGTTTGATCAACACAAACATGAGTCTCACTTGTTCATCCGTCAGGTTGAACTCTTTCTGGAAGTTGAAGGGCTTGGCCGAGCCGGGGACGATGGCGTCCAGCATGGTCTGTCTGTACACAACGATCCTGTCAGCAGAACATGCATCACAATCTTATAAAACAATTAAACAAGACAAAAATCCATTTAGATAACAGCCCTGAGATGTGAGCTACCTGTCGTAGGTGTGGTCATTACAGTTACTAGTCGTCGTGTCAACACCATCCTTGATCAGCCAATGATAAGGAGCAGAGGAGATGCGGATCTTCTCCTTCTTCCTCTTGGAGAGATAACGTCCATCTGCATTAAAATCCCCCAAAATCATAATTTTCTGCAAAAGAAAACAATCATGACATAAAATGAAGTTAGATGTTCATCAGAAAGTTGGCTTACATATTACTCACATGACTTATTGCTCATTAAAAGTCCACTAGTCCATACCCATTGAGTGCACAGTTGCCCACGTACAGTTTCACATGGTGTGTGTTTGGGATACAGGTCATAGGAAATTACAGATTAAACAGTCAACTGAACCCATTAAGAAGAGCAATGTATTCAGACAGAGTTTTTGTGAATTTGATAGTACGGTGGCTTTATTGAAAGTACAGTAGTACCATTGCCAATAGTGGGATAGTTAGTGGGCTAAAACTGTACATTAGTAGTTGAGGTAGCATGTTGAAAGGCAGATAAAGTGTTTATTAAAAAATTCGGCCACAGGGGGAGCCACAGCGATCGGTCGCATTTTTGCCATTTTTAAGCATTTTTCTGTTGTTATAGCGCCACCTAGTTGCCAATTAGAGTTAAATTTTGTCCAGTCACCTTGAGTCTTCCTGTTCTACATATCTACCAAGTTTAGTAAAAATCCATATGGCGGTTAGGCCTAGATAAGAAATTAGCTCTCTAGCGCCCCCATTTTGTTTGATGGGGTCAATAATGGAGGGGTCCCCTCAGATTATGTGTGGTCATATGCCTACAAAGTTGCGTGGTGATGGGTGAAACCCTTGAGATGTTATACACCTTTATGTGATGAGCCACGCCCTCCACAATATTCATTGCCTTATAGAAGCTCAGTTTTAGTAAGTTTTCCAACTTTTGCCAAGAGGGAACTTTAGATATTGGTCCCTAGATTATGTTCACCCAGTTTCATGCAGATCAGTCAAACTTCCTAGGAAGAGATCGATTTGAAGTGTTTTTCAAAAAATTCAAAATGGCGGAAAATCTATATAACTGGAAGTTATGGGTTCTTGGGGCAAATTTGTTCCTCATGAGGAGAGGCATCTCTGTGCAAAGTTTCATGTCTCTACGACATACGGGGCATGAGATATGCCCATTCAAAGTTTGAAATTTCAGTCGGTTGCTATAGCGCCCCCCTTTGGCCAATTGATGTAATATTGCTTCACATGACCCTCTACCACTGTGCCAAATTTCACATGGCTTGACCAAGTCAGTGAGGAGAAAAACGTGGAACAGACACACAGACAGAGTTTTCTTCATTATATAATAAGATAAGTATTATCAGAAGAATGTTAGATCTTTAATTTAAACCTGTAAAAATGGGAGCATATTTTTTTAAAAATTCAGTCTATACTCTATTATGTGCCTTCAGTCTGATAAATAAACAAAACATCCTTTGCATTTTTTATCACACCCATCATAATTTACATATCTGAAATCATTCAAATATGAAACAATCATAAACTCATAAAACAGCAGAATGGTTTAAATATCTGCAGTAAAGAAAGAAAACGCTTCTGTGTAATTTAAATTAAGGTTTAGAAGGAAATTAAAATCAATGTTAAGAAAGTGTCTGCTGGAATGTTTTGTAAAACCAGGAGCTAAAAATATTTCTGTTGTCCATTAAAGTTGTTTTCCAAACCGGATTTGAATATCATAAAATGGTGTAACCGTTGGCAAACAGCTCAGTTGTGTCAGGCAGTAAATTCAGAGTTGGGAAGTCAACCAACACCCTCACGTATATGATTTATGTGGCACTCTCTAAAAGAGTCTACCTACATTAGTCCTCCACTTCTTCCTGACAGCATCGACTACATCATGCAGCTCGTCCAGCTCCTTCAGTGAGTCATTCGGTTTGGTGTGGACTGGGATCAGAACCAGATCTTTAACCTCTGTAATACACAGGTCCAGACAGTTAAAACACATTTTGAAAAAAAAACACACACACAATACTTACAGACAAATAACACATACTCGCAGATGGACAGCGGAAGTGCAGGATGAAGGGCTCTCTGGCGAAGGCGTCCTCATCTCCTTCTTGATTATCTTCATACTGATGACAAGCTTTCAGTGTCACATCATCCTCTCTGAGACACACACATACAAGATATGAACACAAGGACATTGATGTGTTTGTATGCGTGCGACATGAACCTGAAGACAACCTTTCTGAGTTTGCTTACTACCACAAGCTGTATGTAAATCCCACACATTGGCCTCATAATACTTAATAATAGCTGTAATTTGGGAGTGACAGTGCACCTGGGCTCTCCTACCTGTAGAAACAAACAAAGCGCTCCTTGTAGGTGTCTCGTCCAAGCTGGGAGCTGGCGGTCATGGAGTAGGGACGGTTTTTGTTGGAGCTGAGTGAAACGGAATCAACAAAGAAGTTCAGTAACGTGAAGTCTGTGTGTCTCAGATGTGGTATAATTTAGTTGTGTTTTGTCCTGCTAGCATCTCTTATCAGCCGTCTCTCACCCAACCACCAGCTCACTGCTGGTTGGGTGACCTGAATACTTTCTGTCACCTAAATCTTTGCAGTAGAGAAAAAAGATCAGAAAATGCTTACAGGAGTCATTTTTGTAATGCTCAGGCTGTTATTGAGCCCACAAATAAACAAGTTGGTTATTTAAGAATGACAGTTTGCAGTGAATTTAATGAATACAAAAACAAAATCATATGGTTGTTTTTTGTCAGCATAACCCGGTCTTTTCCTCTCATGACACCATATTCCTTGGGTGCACAAATATCAGAGTCTCGTAAATGCTTTTCATTATAGTTTTTCACATGCATCAACACAACATCAAACTGTCTAAACAGATTAGTTTACCATTAAATTTGCTGAACACATCATGATTATAGTAATTT